GGTTTAAAAAAAAAAAAAAAAAAAAAAAAAAAGAAGGATGCTACTAAAGAGGTGGGCACTTACTTCCATAGGGAGATCCTGTTGGAGAGCCATTAATGAATCCAGGTGAGCTAGGAACTCCCAGGTTAGACATCGGGACATTGCTGTAGCCATTCATGCTATTACTGGAGGTGCTATAATTAGACTGCTGAGGTGTTGAACTGGAAGAGTAACCTCGAGGGGAGATGCTGCTTGTATTACGAATGTAACCTGAAATAAATTAAACATTTCACAGTGAGTCAATGAATACGGCCTGAAACTTTTCTTTTCTCTATTTTCCCAGTCTCAAAGAAATCTTTTGAGATTGTTCTTTTAGACCCAGATTCAACAAAACACTTCAGCAAGTTTCATTGATTTAATGGGACTGAAGCCTGTCTTTAAATGCTTTGCTGAAACAGGGCCTAAAACATTCACGGGAATTTGCACTTTTTGAAGTTGTGCGTGTATTTTCCTAATCAGATTTGATTGTTTAAAACTTGAAATTGGAGTCTAAGATCTCAAAAAAATAGTAAGCTCATCTTTTAATGGTTTTGCTACAAAGTGTGGGTTGAGGTTATAATTTCCAAATAATTAATGGATTACCACTTAAAAAATAGAGTACCAAAATGTATTAGTAACATTCATGCAGTCACTTATAGAATCAACTTTGAATATACCCTCCTCTTCTTGTCTCGTTCGGTGTGAGAAAAGATTGGCCACATAAGTCAGAAAAAATTAGCCCAGTAGGGACAATGATTGCAAATACTGTAGGAGCAAGTTTTGGTCCATTTTTTCCCCCCATCAAACACAATTTCAGTTTTCAAAAATGACTGGGGGGAAAAAAGAGGAATGAACTTGAAAAAAAAATTCCGTTTTTTCATAATTTTCATTTTAGGCTCAAAGTTATTTTTCAGTGAAGAAACTTCATTAGAAAAATTTCATCTAGCAATAGTTTAATATATGTTAGTTACCATTTAGGAAATCAGTGGATTCTACTAGTTGAGTTAGTCCAGGTAAATGAATAAAGGAAATGCAAATCAACATGAACAATTGTTTTTCTGCATATTACATTCTGGAGATTGTTAATACTTCATGATATCCAGGTTAAGTCAGTGCTAAGACCTTACTGCCAATCTGTGTAAAATTACCTTTCTAATTACATTTGGCAGGATATACCTGGACATACGTTCATCTGACATGACTTTCACCTCCTGGGAGGACATTGTGTCCAACTAACTGTGCGTTCAGACTACCCAGATTGTATATTACAGGAATCTAGTGTTAAACTGAGAAATCAAGCACTCCAGTCAGGACATTCCAAAAGTTTAAATTGCTCCCCTGATGTTAGCTCTGCTGAGCTGCATGTATTTTATGGCACACATTACTAACAATGGTACATTAAGGTTCACATTCAACAAGGAAAACAGCACTAGTAAATACATGCAATTTGGCAAGTTAACATTGTAGAAGAAACAATTAACTTTTAAAAATTCTCAGCCTCACTCCTCAATGGTAGTGGATGCATTTACTGTCTTGGTGTTTTCTGAGGGCACTGATATGACTGAAAAATGTGAATTGAAGTGGAAGTTGGAATTCAGCCTTAAGTTTGCCAGAAAAGAGACTATGGGTAAAAATTTCAAATGCACGTAAGTCCTAATGACTTCAATGAACGTTAGAAGCTGAAGTCCCATTTTCAAAAGTGACTTAAGCCCTTGAACCTAACTCACATAGGTGCTTTGAAAATGTTACCCTGTGTTAAAAATGTTCCCTTAGAATCTGCTCCAAAACTCATTGAAGTCAAAGGACTTTGGATCAAGCATTTACTCATCAGATCTGCTCCTTGTACCTGTTCTGAGGAAAGTGGGCCAGAAATTTGTCAAAACAGTTTTTCAATGAAAAGTGCCATTTTCATCAATTTAGAAAAGCATGTAGATGTCAACAAAATTTCATACTGAAAAAAATTAAATGACACACCTTTTTTGAAACAACATTGTTTATCTAGAAAAAGCAGTTTTAAAAGTCTGAAGAGGTCAAAATCAGAATAAAAATCAGCCAAAATTAAATTTCAAAATTTTGTTTTTGGTCGAGGATGGAATGGAAAAATTCAGAATCATGGCATTTCCTGCAAAATGGAAAATCAGGTTCCTGCCCAGCTCCAGTTTTGAGTCACCTCTTACTTTGGTGACAAAAATAAGGAGTTTGTACGATTTACTCCAGCCCCACAGAACCACTATTCTGTCTCCTGTGTCACCAAAAAAGTTGTTTCCTAAATTCCAATGGCAGAACTTCATTGTTGAGGACACATGAGCTAGAAAGAAACTAGCTTGTCCAGTTTGCTGGCAACACATTAGCAATAAAGAAGGCTGTGTGTCTACTTTTAAACTGAGTAGATATCGAAGTTGAGAGACCAACCTGGAAACTGATATCCTCTGATGCTATTTTTACGATCACATTTTAGGGTAGAGCTTCACACTTTGTGCAAACATTATAACGGACATTACCTTGGTTGTTCCCCTGTGTCGACTCTGAGATGCTGACTCCTAACTGGCTCCCATAGGAATTGATTCCCATCATGCTGCTATGAGCTGGAGAACTAGACAAAGCAGGGATCTGGCCAGGATTCCTTGGGACACTGTACAAAGCTTCTGCAATGTCCGCAGCTCGCTTCAGAATAATATCCTATAAGACAGCAACAGCCTAAGGTCAATTTAACTTCAGGATGTTTTTACAAAACCTTTAAAAAGGTTTTTTTTTCCTCCCCCAAAAGCAGCGACTCTAACCTGGTTATTATGTGGCGTTCCATACAGTGCTTCAACTAGGTCAGCGGCTCTTTTCAACAGCATCTCCTGGAGGAGGAAGAGATGTATGAAATGGCAAACCTTCAGAGACCCCCTTCCCCCCGCAAAAAAAAAAGACAGTTTTCTGCCCTGGTTTGTTATCTGAAATAAAAACCAGGGCCAAGATTTTCTAGTGTGATTGCTGTTTTGGGGGGGCCCAACCTGGTACACTTTGAAGGAGTCTCGTTTTCAAAAAGTGTTGACACTTTCAGGTTGTCAAGTATCAGAGGGGTAGCCGTGTTAGTCTGAATCTGTAAAAAGCAACAGAGGGTCCTGTGGCACCT